GATTATATTAATAGATGACTTATAGCTAAAGGTTATAATTGTTTATTTTATTATACAGTAATTAAATATTTGGTTTTTGTCGTATATGATTATATTAATAAATGACTTATAGCTAAAGATCATAATTATTTATTTTATTATATATATATTTAATTATGATTGCTTGGAAGCACATCATTATAGTTGTATGATAAAAGACTTGTATTAAAGTTTATTAATTATATTAATGAAGATTCTTTGGTAGTTTCCTAAGATGCTCAAAGTATGAGTGGTGTTGATATCTTTTTTGAGATAGTTAAAAAATTAGATTATAAATGAAAGTGGCATTAATAGGTGACTTTTTTTTGATGTCGTCTTTACTCATAATAAATATTTTTATTGTGTTATAGATTTAAATTGTATATTACATTTAATAAATAAATAATTAAAAAAATTTTTTGAAAAATAATTTTCAAATCTAAACACATTATTTTTAAATAAAAATTATTTTTTTAAATGTTTATAAATATAATTTTTTGATTTTTTGAAATTTTGAATTTGGTTTCGATTAGACAAATTATAAACCATTGGTTTACATTTCATACTTTATAGAATTATAACAAGTGAATATAATTAATATATTATTTTTATTTTTACTAAATGAATTAAAAAATATTTTAAAATATCTTGATATCATCATGTTGCTCAGTTGCTGTGATAAATACAATATGAATTTCTAATTTAATTTTCCGATTAGTTCTTATTTATTGACATTCCAGTCTACAGTCTTAATATTTTCAAAGTTATTTATTTTTTCATTATTCCTTTTACTTTTTTATTATTATAATTTTTATATATATATATAAATGCAAATCCCGTTTAGAAGAACCCTTCATTGTTTTTTAGCCTTGTCCGCATAGTTTACATAATGAGAAAACAGAAGAATTCCAATTTAATTTTCATGCTTAAACTTATTCCATGACTTCTTGTCAAAGGTAGTTTTGTTCATTGTGAATCTTAGACATGTAAATTTTGTTTTTCAGCATCTTGGCAACAGTTTACTTGAAGAATCCAACTTGGATATTATAAACCCTTCATCAAGGTTAGTTAGTTTTATATTATTTAAGGTATTCATATAAATAACTTGTTAATTTTAAGTTGGTCATAATTTTTCCTGAATTTACTTTTAAGACTAATCAGTCTTAGATATTATAATAAATTATTAATAATTATAACTAGAAAATAAGTAGATACTAATATTTCTCTATAGATTAATTTTATTGCCTACACTAAATAATTTAGGTTAAAAAAAAGTATTCATTAAAGTAATAACTAATGACATTTTATTAACACATAAAAATTAAAATATATGAACAAATCATTTAAACCTAAATAAAATATAATTACTTCGATAAAATATATTGGTTGGTTTTTATATGTTAAGTTTAAGTTATAAATTAACCATTATAATTAGACACATTTATTTGTATGGGTACCTACCTATTATATTTATATTGGAAGAGACTAGAAACTAAAAATCATATGATTTAGAGTTTTGCACTTTAAAAAATTCCTAAATTTATTATTATAATTTTAAATTTAGCTATGAGCATTTTAAAGTCGTAATATTTTATATAGTTCTATAATTCTTTAAAAATATTAATAAATCCTATAAAATGTTCTGAATAATATTTTTACTTTTAAGTTATATCTCATTTAATAGGTAAATTTAATTTAATGCTTAAATTAACAGTAAAAATAGATTCAAATCAATGCAAAGTTGCTTATTTTACGTTAGTTACGACTACGAGACTACTTGTATAGGTACGACGTCCTCTTATATATTTTTATTTTTGGTATGTGGTTGCTGTGACTACAACTAAACTGTTTCACTGTATAACCACAAAATATAACTACTGTTATGTAGACGTAGGGCTGTCCTTTGAGGGAGTGTCTAACCCCCCCTTCATTCATGACTTTTTAATATTTAGTCGGCAAAATAAAATGATGACGATGACAACAATTTTATTAAAATACACCGAATTCTAAAAATAGACGAATTTATCTACTATCAGATCTGTTGACTTATTCTTAGTATTATACAATATTAATTTATTATTGCTGCAATCTGAACTTTTGCAATCGATAGTAAAGTTATCGTCTATTTGATTATACGTCGATCAGATTTACAAAATAGATATCTTGATTACTAATTTAAATATCAATTATTTTTTTTTATTTTTTTTAACTATTTCAAAACAAACAATCTATAATTAAATTTACAGTAAGCATGTATGTTGATATACATAATAATTTGATATGCGACACGTGAAAAAAAGAAGCTACCCAATAGCAACACTTTAGAAAAGAATTTTGTTTAATTTATAGAATTTTTTTTTTTTTTTTTTGTCATTTAATTATGGTTGAGATCGTGATACCATCTTCTCTTTAATCTGCGAGGAAGATTTCCAGGAATGGAGTCAGAATTTAGTGCTGGTATTAGAGGATTTGGGTGGTTGATTAGTCGTGAACGAAATCGTTTATAAAATAGTTTTGCAGTTTCGTCTATTGAGTTAATTCTTAAGTCGGTGTGAAGAGTGTGATTTGAGACATGGTAACAGGCCAAAAAAGCGAAAAAAAAATAGTGAATGGAAAAATAGCGAATTAAAAATTTCGAAAATAAAAATAACGAAACTAAATTATGGCCAAAAATAATATATCGAATGTTTAGGGGAAACTCTTGTTTTTATAGTTAATATTAAACAGAGAATAGGGGAAAACTATAGATAATAATATAATCTTTATTAGTCAGTCATTATTATTGTGACTCAAGGTAATATCCGTTATCGCTTTTATCGTGAATAGTGTACATCGTATACCTATCGTATCCTATACTATATGGACATCAAATAGTTTTGTACGACGTTCGACATCGTGACAATCGTTGACTAAGTGTTGTGCTTATTATTTTATTTCTTATATTCTATTTAAACTGTATTTTTTAAAAATTTGATTTTTAAGTTATGGAATTTATTAAATCTAATAAAAATAAACTTTTACTCGTGTATTATAGTTATGCTTATAGAGAGGAAAAAATATACAAGGAATCGAAGTATTGGAAATGTATAGATATGCAATGTAAAGGTCGATTAACAACTACAAGTGATAATAAAATTAAAAAAGAGCCTTCAGAGCATAACCACGTTCCAGATATATGCAAGTTAGAAGTAAAAAAAGAAGTCGAGAGAATGAAATCCCAATCATTGTCGTCACAAGATAACCCTCAACAAATAATCGCTTCATCGCAATTAAATCCAATGATATCAGGTGCATTACCCGAAATATCTAATTTAAAACACACGTTAAGAAGAGTACGACAACGTAATGATTGCGCACCGCCGAATCCTCAGTCACTTTTTAACCTCCAAATACCTGAAAGGTATACTTTAACTAAAGATGGAAAGCAATTCATGCAGTACGATAGCGGTCCATCAGATGAACGTATTTTAATATTTTTTACTAGACAAAATCTAGAATTAATGGGAAAATGTAATAATTGGTTCGTTGATGGTACATTTAAGTGCACTCCGACACTTTTTACTCAAATTTACACAATACATGTATTGACAACCAATTCGTTGATACCTGCTGTTTACGCTTTATTACCAAATAAATCACAAAAAACATATGTACACCTCCTTAATCAATTAAAAAAAATTAAATCAACTTTATCACCAAAATTAATTATGTCAGATTTTGAAATGGCATCAATTAATGCATTTAAAGAAGTATTTCCAAATGTAAAACAAAAAGGATGCCATTTCCATTTTTCCCAATGTATTTGGCGTAAAATACAACAAATTCAATATATGGCCCAAAAATATATATCAGATTCGACATTTGCATTACAGATACGGCTCTTATTAGCATTAGCATATGTACCAGAAAATCATGTGATAGATGCGTTTGAAGAATTAATAGATTCACAATACTACACAGATAACGAAAAAATTTTGCAACCACTTATTGACTACTTTGAAGACACCTGGGTAGGCCGTCCAATGGGTCGAAGAAAAGGTCGTAGATTACCAAAGTATTCAATAAGTTTATGGAATTGTTACGAATCAGCAAGTACTTTATTGCCAAGGACTAACAATGCAGTAGAGGGTTGGCATAGAGGTTTCAGTTCATTACTTGGTTAGTTTTTTAAAATATTTTATTAAATTTATAATTTAATTCAATGTATTTAATGTATCAATGTATAATGTAATATTAACTTTTTAAGGTGCATATCATCCAACATTATGGACATTTATCGATGTGTTAAAAGATCAACAACATTTAGAGGACATTAAACAGGAACAGTTCATTGCTGGTGCCAAAAAACATCAAAAAAAAAAATATAAAGATTGTTCAGAAAAAATACGTAATTTAACCTTATCCTACAATACTAACGACAACATTAATTATTTAAAAGGTATCGCTTACAACTTAACTTTACAAATGTAACTATGATTTTGTGAATATTTTTTTATATTATATTTTTATACTTGTACTTATTATAAAATATTTTTTCGCTATTTTTGATTTCGTAATTATATAAACTTTGCTTTTATTTTTTTCGCTATTTTGGTTTCGCTATTTTTCTTTTCATCTTTATTTTTTCGATATTTTGGCCTATAATCTTGAGACATAGAATGGAGAATTTGTAATTATGTAAAGAGTTGTGGATTGGTAGGTTTGAATTTTATTTGTATTTGATTTCTTGGCAGCCCCCCCCCCCCCATAATTGGATGCCGTATGTCCAGATGGGCATCAATAGAGTTTTATAAATGAGTAGTTTTGATTTTATGTTCAGTTGAGAGTGTTTGTCGATTAAGTAGAAGAGAGATTTCCGTTTGGCGTTTAGGAGAATCCGTTTTATAATATGATGATCCCAAGTTAGACGTTGGTCTAGTATTGAGCTTAAATAGCAAGAGCTAGTAGCTCTAGGGATGATGACAATTAAAAAAAAAAAAAAGTTGAAAATGTTCTATAAAATAAAAGATATCGTAATTATTCGTTCATTATGAAACACTTTGTATATATATATATATATAATGTACGTATAAAATAGATATACCAATATAAATTATAATGTAATATATAGAAGAAAAAATTTTAGTCTGCAAATTAATAGGTCTACCCCTCCCCCTCCTATGAATTGTTGTTCAGGACGACCCCATGTAAAAGTTATAATAAGGGTTGTCTTAATCTCTTTCAGCACTAAATACTAGAATATTATTCGATCAAATTTTAATTTTGACACCTCTAACACGTTCTTCTGATTTTTGTGCATTGTACCGTCGTACTTTTCGATTATATCTAATGCTATCCTAGACTTATAATTTATCAGTTATCAATAATAAACTAAAAATTTTAGTTTTGTTACTCATTTGTATTAATATTTTAGTAGATAATATTGATAATAACAATGTTAACTTTAAGCGCTAGGTAAGAAATCCTAATAGTAAGAATCCAATATGTAGATTTACTTTGTTAGCGTGTGCACTGTGAGACATATTAAAAGTTAGTTTAGTAACTCTAATTTTATGTAATAAGTAATAATCCTTAATAATAGAGAGAATTAAATGAATACAACTTTAAATTAAATATCATCTGTGCTTTCTCGTGGGTTTTTTTATTTTATTTTATTTTATAAGCAAATAATAACTAAGTACGACAAATAAAGCTAAATCTTTTTCTAAAAATTTTAATATTGGGAATAGAATATATTATAATATATTTAATTTATGCTCAAACTATTTGTATAAATGTACGGTGAACTGACTGCCCGAAAATTCTCATAATTCAATTACAAATTTAAATATCGTAATGTCGTAAAAAACATTAGAAAACACAGATAATATTTACTTTATAGTTTGACGATAAGTCAGTTCACTCCAAATAATAAGGTATTTAATCCTGCTATTACACAAAATTGGAAGTGTTGAACATAAATTTACTATGTTGTACGTTCGTTAGACGGAAACAACACGTCATAATGTTTTTTCCTTTATAAATTTATTTTGCATTAAAATTGTTGATAAGAATATAAAATACATACAAAATTAATTTAATTATTGTGAAATTTTTGATATTCCCGGTCATTTCCAAATATTTTCAGGAACAATTTTCTGTCAAGTTACGTTTCTTGAAATTAACTAACCCTATTTATAAGTACGATGTTTCATAAATAACTACGAGAGTTTAATCTAAAAATTATTCTAACAATCTATAGTTAACACAATTTTATTAATATAACGAGATAAATCTTAAAACATGTAAATGTTTACTTTAAAAAACGTTAAATCGTTAAGTACACAACCACTAGATATAATATTATAATAACTTTTTATGTAGAACTTATAATTTAATACTAAAAGTGCTTTGTAAGTGGTATAAGAATATATAGGTTGCATATATAACATACCTATGTGTATTGCTATATTTTATTTCTATATACTCACCTTGGGGGGATTTTATAGGTAAGTATTATAGTCTATAAGCAAGCATTCTTATTCAATTTTTCTTGGACCCTTTGGCCTTTTTATGTATTTTCCACATGACATATCAAAGGGATGGCGATTATTGGGTTTTGCGTGTGCGACAATGCCAATATATAAAGCAGAGTGTAGTTTATATATTACATAATATATTTTATTAATATCTTGTATAATATGTATATAGAGCGTCTGATAGTATAAAATTCCTAAGTCACTGCTACAAATAGAGTAGGTAGTCAACATATTTAATGGTTCGCTAACGTTCATGGTCGTGATATTTAGTTTTTGAACTTTGATCACATGAACAATTTGAATAAAATGTTTGCCATATTAATATTGATATATATATATATAAATTCGAGAAGTTGCTTTGTTATATATAATATAAAACAGTTTTGACTGTTTTTCTTGATCAAACCATAGCTATTTAAGTGACCAAACTGGCTGTGTGAAATTTTAATAAAATTATAAATCATTGCATACGAAAAATAATTTGAGTAAAAACTCTGTGTCACTAATCACTATACTTAATTTATTTATATAAATATAAGTTGTTACTTATTATACTTATTAGAATTATATATATATATACTCGTATATATATTAGTTTATCAAAATTATTGTTAAAAATATCGTATTATAGATATAATACCTATATTATAAAAAAGTTATTATACATATTTTATTTTTGATATTAACTTATTAGTCAATACATTAACAAAGTAAGTTATTTTTAAAATATTTAAAGGTTCATAATATAAGTAGCTTAAAATACTTAAAAAATCAATTTTGTATAGATTTTGATAATAAATAGTAATATTAATAGTTGTAGTTGTAATACAATATTAAAATGTTTAGGTTTTTCCGATAAATATTTTTTCAATCATATCAAAATAATAAAAAATGTTTGATTAGGAATTGTTATTTTACATTTAAATGTCAAATGCTCATTAAAAATTAGGGATATGCATATAGCTTGGGAAATGAAAAAATTAAAAAAGTTTAAACAATTTAAAATACCGTTATAAATCGTATTTTCTCTATTATTCAAACAAATAACCATAAACCAAGGTGTATTATTTAAGAAATTATTTAAAGATAATCTACGTATATATATATATATATATATATATACATAAATAAATAAAATAACATGCTTGATTGATTGATGCACTATTGTCTAGCCGAAACCGTTGAAACTATGAGTATGAAATTTGGTTATTAATTTTATTTTATGGTGTTGAGACTCACTAATTAAGGATTTCCCAAAATGCATTCCCTAAGAGAGTTAATAGGTGTAAAAATGAAAAACGTTAATTTTGATCGGATTTTTTTTTTTAAACTTAGCATTTATACTGTAATATAAATAATAAAATATCTTTTAGGTACCTTAAAAAATGTCCAGTTTACATTTAATTGAGTTTAATAAAGGCTAAATTCACGAGCATATGATTTGTCATAGGCAATACTGTGTAAGGTCTACCAGTAAAATATAATTAAGTATTTTACATTTATCAAAAATAAAAATAATCCTACTTTGTTGATATAATTATTTAAATTCTTATTTTTTTAATTCATATTTGAAACAGTTTTACAGAAAAATTTAAAAAATTTGAGATGTTACCTTTTTTTTGGCTTAGTTTTGAGTCTATGAAATAGCTCAAAATGAATAATAATATTTTCTAAATTATAGTTTGTTAATCATTTTAAATAATTTTCCGTTAAATACAAAATTTATTGTTTTTTATTGGAGTGACACGTTGTGGAAAACTCAAGCAAAATTACGTTTTAGAGAACGAATATTGAACTATAATGGGATTAGAATACGTGGCAAAAAATCACCTTAGTTAGGAAATTTTTAAATTAAAGCTAATCGTGTAAAAATACTATACTCATTATAACCGACACAAAAATACAGAGAATTAAGTCTTATTAATACTCGTGGCATGAAAATGTATACAACATTTTTTATTATGACTACGTTATCTAAAAGTATTAGGACAAACAAAACATAAAAGTATTATACAGTTAAATAATTAATAAATATATAAAATATAAAATATTATTATTTTATGTTAATAATATGTATAAATTAATTTTTTAGTTGTTTATAAAATAGTTCGATAGTTTTAGTTATTTTAAAAATTAGAAAATTTATTAAAATATGAAAAGTAAATATTATTATAAGTTGATTTAGTAGAACATGAATCAAATTCGTATCCAGTTTAGCATTAAATTGAATGAAAAAAAACAAATTTGTAATTTCATAAATATACTAATTCTAAACATTACGAGTACATTGATTTATTCAATCTCGAGGTACACTCAATACTTTCTGTAATAGATAGTAAGAAATTAAAGCAGTTAGGTACTTACTTTTATCCTTTTCAGATTAAAATTCTATCATTTTTTATCACATATCAAACTTTATGTACTCTAATAAAATAAAATAAAGTTATAAGGTATTTTAAAATTGTATAAGTACTTACTGATAATAATAATTATGGATATAATTTGGAAGTAATATTTTATATTATACTTTGTTCACTTCTATATTTTTTATTTGAACGATGTTATGTATATATATATATATATATATATATATATTTATATCTTTTTATTGTGGTGGTTTTGTAATTGATAAAAACGGATAAACTCATTCTGATGACAAACATAAATAGATTACGTACATGCTCTGTTGGGTTTATTATGCAAAAACGACGGGACACAGAATAATATGTCCAAATCGAATCAACGTCATGGAAACGGAGATCCGTCTCGGTATATATAATCAAATCTGCAAACCATCAGCCCTCCTCCAACTCTATATAAAGTGAAATATCTAAACAACTTATGTTGATATATACACATTTGTGTGTATGTGTTAGTGTATATTTTAAATCCAATGGCAATTGAACAAACGAAACAATTTTACATAGAAATCTGAAATCCTGGTGTATTTTAAATTTTGTATGTATACCTATCAATGAAAAAAATAGATTACTAAAAAGAACTTCATTTTTTAGTGCTATAAATAAAACTGTTTCTTATTTTATTTCAGACAAATTGCATTAGCTGATATTATACTCATCAATAAAATTGACTTAGTCGACAGCAGTACTTTAGAAACTTTAAAGATTAAGATTAGGTAATATTTCATTTAATTTTTATATTATGTACCTACCTACCTATATGTACTATTGTATTTGTATACTAATAAAATAATAACTTTATTTTTTTAATCTTAAAAATATACCTGTATTTTTCAACTTATTCCTTTGTACTTAAAAAATAATTATTTATTTGTTATAGATCAATTAACGGAAGTTCCGAAATTATTGAGACAACTCATAGCAGGTAAATTATTACAGGTTATTAAATAGGTAATGTGTGTCACATTCATAAAACTGTGATATAACTTTATTATCATTTCAGAATTGACTTGAATAAAATTCTTGATTTGAAATCGTATTCTCCGTCTAACAGTTTAAGGTATTTATCAATGAAACAAATATTATACTATTTTAGGATTAGATTCTTTATACATAACTCTTTAAATACAGATACCAGTGAAATAAAAAAAAAAAAAAAAAACTCGTTTTATTAAATTAAAACCGTAGTTATAGTTGACCAAAGCTTCTATATTAAGATTTATAACGTATTTATTATTCATATATATATATATATATATATACCTTGATAAATTGATTACTGTTATACTATGATTAAATATTTCTCTTAAAATATAGTATTAAGTGTAGTAGTAATAACTATATTCTCTAAAATATAAGCTTTTTCTCATTGATAGCCGTAAGTCTCATAACGCTGTACCGTAGTTTAGCGAGGAAGGGTTTTTCTTGTATAACACTAGTGAATGCACTTTTATGGGTAACCATAAGACCACTTGTCAGATTATTAATAACCGTGAAATAAAGTAAGTATAATTTTTCACCCTCACCCATAGCCCTCTTTAAACACTTCACGGCCATCTGTCAAACTCTACAAATTACCCGTTGTTCTGTTTTGAACTTATTTTTTGTTTTATATTGGTACTTTGTACACATTTTGTTTTTAACTTTTGTCGAAAAATATTTACCAAACCTATCGGTACCTATTTTAGTTTTAATTCGTCATAAATAATGTTTAAAATTCAATTTTTTTTTAATATCATTAAATTATACTTGTAGTAACCTGCAAATATATTAAAAAGAGTACCACAATATTTAACATAATTTAAAAAAATAATTTTTTATTATAATTGTACAAAATATAAAAGTTATTTTTTTTTTTTTTACGTATAGGAATAATTTGGTGAATTTCATAATTTTCAAAAAAAAATATTCAATATTATGTATTCTATAATTGCGTATAATTGATACATAGAGTAATTCACTCAGAACACTCATTTTCTCTCCTATTTTCTTTAATAATGGAATGATTCAAAACCCAATTTTTGGAATTTTTAAATACATCAGCGACCATGTTTTCTAATACTTTAGATTATCTTGTACCACATTATTGTAGCTAACTTCTGTTTTTTTTTTTTTCAAATATAATTCCTCTTCTCTTTTTTCTAATAATTATTAGACTTAATATACTTTATTAAAAAAATTACGATGAATATAAATTAAAATTCAAATGAGTTGTTTCTAATTTAATACATTTTAAGTATAAAAGATTATAGTTCGTGTTTTTTAGCTTGTTTATATTTACAAAGTACGAGTAGATAAGAGATTTAATAACATGGAAAGCTTAGGTATTATTGATTTTAAACTTGATAGTTGCTTTTGATATTTTATAATTTGTAAAAGTTATCTGAAAAGTAACTAATGAGACCAATATATAAATGTATGATCTCAGCATATTTTTTTTTTACCCTATGGCCTATGAGACTATAAAATAACATAACCCGGAACTAGGGCTACAAATAGACACGGACTATTACTCTATATTACTTAAATGTTGATAATTTAGAGCTACTCGTTCAAATTAAAATTTAGATACATCAACATTTAAATATTTACTCGTATATATATTTATATTATGTAACCCCAAATGTATACTGCAGAAATAAAATGGTTTTCTATTTGAAAAATAGAAGTTTGTATCGGTATAGGATCATTTTTAAAAGACATATAAATTTTAATTATTCAAAAATATGATTTTCTACTATGTACAAGAATTCCAAAAACTAGATTTTGAATAACTCCATTTTTAAAGAAAAAAGGGATGGGTGTCTTTGGAAAATCAGGGCGGTCCTAGTTTGCACACATTTATTAAAATTATAACTATTTAGATATAACTCATTTGCACTCAGATTATTTATTATATAACAACTCGTTAGGGCACAAATTAAAAATTTTACATTCTTAATAACGCCTATGGAAAGCTTTAGCTCCTTTTTTGTACTTGGTTGTAAATCATTTGGTTTTCTAAACTCTAGGGATGAGGTAAAGTTTTAATCAGTTAAAATATATTTCATGAAAAAACATAATCAAAGAAGTCGCTTACCTCTTGGATAGAGTAATTTATTATAGCTATATTAAAGTTACAAAATATTTTATCTTTATTTATTCTGAAACCAAATTTATAGAAAAACTAAAAAATTTTTTTTTAAAATAAGCCATTTAAACCAATTTACTCTCATGAAATTATTGTTTTTATACTCCCGTAATAATTAATTACTCATTTTTATTCGATAAAATCAATATTTTATTAAATTCAATGTACATCATATTATAACATAATGACCTTTAAAATTGAATCATGAACATATTTTTCAAAGTCAACATGGATTTATTCTATGACAAGTTATTGATTAAAAATTTGAATACATATATTTTGCAGTATTACCCACATGATTTTTAGTATGTCGGAGTATATTATTTATGTTAAAAAAATCAAAATCCTACTGAAACGTAAAAATAATTTTAAACATTTGAATAGTATATAGTTTAATAATTTCAGGAAATGGAACAATAGTATTTCTATTATTTGTAAATAAATAAAATAGCACAATACAAGTAATTCATTTAATTAAGTTATAAAAACTTAAATGAAGGTTTTCGTTGGCATTATTTAATTAAGTTATAAAAACTTAAATGAAGGTTTTCGTTGGCATTATTTGAAAATAAATAACTGATAGGTATCTAATACAATTTATATATTTTATAAACTAAAATTAGAAATATATGCAAATTATCGTATTTACCTACTCAAATTCGTGTAACATATGTAATAATTTGTCATTGAACTCAAATTTAAAATATATAGTTTAATATTTAGTTAAGTCATATTAGAATAGATCCTAAAATAATAATTTATTATATTTAATAAATAATCCACTTCTTTTAATAATAATTTTACCGTCTCTGCGACTCTGCATACTTGTTTTTCATTTTAAGACAAAGCCTGTGTATGTATTATTTTTATGCTTGAGTACTGATTCATATAGTGAAGTATAGTAAAGTTATAAATTTACTTTAATTTTCTTATAGATACTACCTACTTGAATAATTGGAAACTGTTTCACAAATTTAATTAAAGCCGTTTATTGTGTAATACGAATTTTGAGTCATTCTAAATAGAAATTTTGTTTTTTTTTTTTTTTGGTTTTGTAATGGTACAAAAAAAAAAAAAAAAAAAAAATAAAATAAAAAACGATATAACTAAATTTAATTTAATTATAACTGTCATTATTTATTACATTTTAGTATAAATGTTACATATTGTGTAATAATATGTAGGTATTTTATTATTAAATTATGATATGTAATATATTAAAACATTGTTCCTGGAATTTCAATTTTGTACGATAATATAATGAGTGTTTTATTTTCAAAATCAGAATATTATTATATGTATTCATGTTCATTTTATTTTCAAAAAAACTGCGAATCAAAATTATGGTATGAAATTACAACATTTATCTTCGAGGTGGAATTTTCATTCACATTTTCATATTCTGTGATAAGTTTATGATTGGGTAAAATATTTGATAAAGTATACAATACAAATATAGACTTTTGATAGTGAAAAAAAAATGAAACTTTGAATTTTATCTACACTTAATAAATATTGTACTGATCAGTAATAAAAATTTAAAATACAAGTTTCTCTGAAATGTAGTAAATTTCTAGTAACCTACCTACCTTGTTTTTATACGGGTCACTGTATTAGGTACGTTAAATTTTAATTTAATTGTAAACAATTTTTTTTAAAATTTTTTTTTTTTTTACATAAAATATATACAATTTGTCCAATTATAAGTAATTTCATACAAAAAACAATTATGAGAAAATAGCGTGTGGCAAGTTTTATTTCTTAAGGTATTTTATAATTTATTTTATCTACTATTCGTAATAGCGTATATTTAACTAATATTTTCCAAAAACATCACATATTATATTACACTTATTTACACAATAAATAATGTAACTATTTATACCTAACTATAGTACTTTTGTTTTATTTTCAATATTGCATCGGTACAAAGTAGGTAATATAATATGTATCCAATGTATTTCAATTGGTGTTAATGTTTGGGTAAACATTGTCGTGCCATGCTATATTACATCCTGTATCAGCTTTAAAACTTATACGACACCACAGGGGTATAGTAGCTTGACTAGATAGAGGGGGTATAGGACGACAACATAATAAAATATATTTTACGCGTAAGCATATCATAATACATATATATTATAAAGCAAAAACGTATTACATATAATAATAATACGCGTGGTGGCGCGACGCATACACATAAATGAACTCAAGAGTGCGGAAAAGTGAACGTGGCCGTGTGCTCTCGCGCCCCATAGGTTATTAATCCCTGTGCGCAACTCCTCTATACTTATATGAATATAATGTATGTATATATATATAGATATACGGGAGTGGAAAATCGCCACCCGCCGCTACCGATCTAATATCGTCACGTTATATTAAACCACCTATATACATATAATTAACCCTTTACATGGTCTCCACTCTCAACCGCCGTCATACTCCACAGATCCACATCCATCAATATATATATATATAATATTAAATACACGTGCATTGTACATCTGCTTCGACCGAGTTATCGCGCCTTATAAATAATATTATGAATAAATCTTATTTCTTTATTCATTACGAATCACCATGAATTGTAGTAATAATAATATTAATATATATATATTAATACTTTGCAATTGCGGTTGTTTATGTAGTTTTCATATATTTTAATAATATGTGATATTTCTTATGAATTCTTTACATACCTTGATAGTTAAATATTTATGTTGAAATTGCGATTTACTATAATATTTTTACAGTTGAAAGAAATATCTATGTTTTTTTACTAAATATGTGAT